GTCTGGTTAGCAGGCAAGTGTCTTAGCCACTATGCTACCAGAGCTCCCTTTTTTATGCACTATACCTTCTTATAAGAAAAAATTTAATCCATCAAAATTTTCTCTTTTGATAATTCCAAATGTTATGGTTCATTTAACTTTAAACTACTGCTCATAAAAAAATAATAAAAAAGGTAAATGCTTTAACAGGAGCCATGTCAATAATCTGCATGACTACTGAACAGGATGGCTTTTAAGGCATTTTACAATTGTCCATATTGAGCTAGGGCCACTGGAGTGTAGTGTTTCCAGGGAAAGTAGGAGGTGTGTGGTTAGAACAGAGAAAATCCAAACTCCATCTTCTCCAGGTTCTTCTCCTGGATCCCCAACATCTTGAAGCCTAGCCCCCTGGCCACCTGTTGTTGTCATGTGCCACAGAGTGGACTTTGACTCATAGAGACCCTATCTGACAGAGTATAACTGCCCCACTGGCTTTCCTAGGCTGTAATCTTTCTAGAAGGAGGCGTGGTGGCACAGGGGTTAAGTGCTCAGCTGCTAACCTAAAGGTTGGTGGATCGAACTCACTGTGTTGCTCCACGGGAGAACAATGGGGCAGTCTGCTTAAGTAAAGATTTACAGCTTTGGAAATACTATGGAGAAGTTCTACTCTGTGCTGTAGGGTTGCTATGAGTTGGAATCAACTCAATGGCAATGGATAACATATATGAGAGCTGATCACCAGGTCTTTTCTCCCATTGAAATGCTGGTGGGCTCCAACCACTGATCTCTCAGTTAGCAGCCAAGCACTGAACCATTTCACCACCCGGGCTCCTTCACTTAACCTATCACCTCATATTTTTCACTCTCAATAGCCCCTTCCCCATCACCTGTCCAAGCACTTGCTTTTCCCTCAGAGGCTACATCTGAATAGTCGTCACAAATATCACCACATGATCTGGTTGAAGTAGACTGACAGGGGTAAGGCCCCTCTCTCCCAAGCAAACCTTAATTGGTTTATCACAGCCCTGCTACAGAGCCTCTAGTCAGGCAGTAGATGTGCAATGTTACCTTTCTCGTCCACCGCTCGATTTATGTCATATACCCATGCATCGTCTTCCCATTCCCAACCTGGGGGGCAAGTCAGCTCGCCAGGTGATGCTGCTTTATCGCCATTCTTTAAGAAAAAACAGAAACAAATGCAAAGGTGAGGTAGGGTTCCTTATACTTAACTATGGTATCTGAATATGTACTCAGATACCATTTCAGAGGTCAAACTTACACAGAAGAATCCCTAATGTCTACTTGTATAAAATTGCTTTATAAGATTAGTTTCTATACTACCTTCTGGAGTCATATTAGCTTGAATCACCTGAAATTGCTGCTTTTCTAGGTCAAAAACGGTCAAACACCATATGATTCAACTTTATATTATGAAATGGTGTAATTGTGTTCATGAGATGGTATATAGGAAATAAACCATCAAAGAATGGATAAAACTTGAAAGTCACAAGTTTTCAAATACTGGAAAATGCTATTGGAGATTCATGATGCTAATCACGTGAGAAAGAGCAGAGTTTCTGTGAAATATTAGCTCAGTAGACATCTTGCATAAAAACTGATGAGGAGGTAAGGACGTGATCAGGAAGTTTAGAGTAAAGGAAATAAAGAATTGAATTGTGTTTCCCTAAGAGTTTAGTATTTTGGTTTTAAGAGGCACTTGGTTGCTAACCAGAAGGTCAGTGGTTCAAACCCACCAGTCACTCTGTGGAAGGAAGATGGGGCAATCTACTTCTGTAAAGATTTCCAGCCTTGAAACCCAATGGGGGTGACTATGAGTTGGAATGGACTTGATGGCAGTAAGTTTTTTTTGGGGGGTGGGGGAAAGATGTTGAAATCCTAACTCCAGTGCCTATGAATGTGACCCTTGGGGGAGGTGGAAATAGAGCTTTTCTTTTGTTACGTTAATGAAGTCATACCAGAGTAGGGTGGGTCCTAAACCCAACCCCTTCTTAGGTCTCCTAAAATTAACCTGAACCTAAACCCTAAACCTCCTAAACCTAACCCTTTCTTAGGTCTCTTATAAAAGACACACACACACACACACACACACACACACACACATGCACACGGGCAAGAGAGCTGTCAGGTGAAGATACATCTAAAATCCAAGAAACACCTGGAGCTGTAGAAGCTGAAAAGACAAGGATCTTCTCCTAGAGCCCACAGAGAAGGAAAGCCTAGTGCTTCGGAAGCCCTAACTCCAGACCCCTCACCTCCAGAACTGTCAGAAAATTGACTTCTGTTCTTTAAAGTACCTGTGGTACTTATGTTACAGCAGCACGAGGTAATGAGGACAGTGGCCCACAGACAGGGACGAATGCTCAGCTTCACTTCAAATGGAGAAAGTGAAGACTGAAACGACAGGATACCATTTATTCATATACTGACAAAGGATAAATTGGGGTGGTGAGGGTTTACGCCAATGACCCTCTCATTGACTGTTGCTATGCTATTCGAATTTTTAAAAGTCATGAACATTTTATTTGTTATAATTTTAAAAATTAGTTAAATAAGAAATGTTTATTACTTCTATATGACTTCGAAAAAGAGTGCACATCCCAAATGTTACTGTTTAACAACATGTACAACATGTAATTAAATAAGTCTAATTTATTTTCTATAGGAAATAATGATAGGTGTGCTTGTGTGACTTATTATAAGTGTGAGACTATTCAGAATCTAAGATGAAACAGAAGAGAAGGTAAAGCCAAGGTCTTGGTTGGTGGAGTCCCAATAGATCTTTGTTTCCCAGAGAGAACATGTATCTTTCTCCAGAACAGGCCACTCACCGCGTCAGTGTAGGTGTCCTCGGCCGGCTTCCACTCGCCCCCAGGGTAGCGACTCTCGTTCTGATACACTTCGTCAGTGAACTCCGTGTGACCGGCGTCCGCCTCGGTCAGCAAGCTGCGGGCAAGGGCTCGTGTTACCCAAGGAGAAATGGTAACCGACAACCCCAGCTATTTTCAATGGCTGGGAAAGGTCTACACCCTGGGAGTGGTACCAGTTCCCTCCTCACTTTACCCCTTTTGATTCTCAACTCCAAATTTCCCTTTGTACTAATAGGTTTTGACATGCCTTTGAAGAAAAGGCCTGTTGGAACAATGAGACCTAAATTACAGAGAACTCTTCAAATTAGCAAGGTTGCTCTTCTCAGTAATTAGGGTGGGGACTGGGAAAACAGTGCTGTGGGCAGTTTCTTACGAGGACCACAGAGATGTGTTCGTATTTCTGTTTCAATTCCAGCTGTTCCATTTTATCTCAGCAAAACTCTTGGCTAACAGTTCAAAAGAACAGGGAGTTGTCCCCTTCTCCCCCCC